TTATAGTATAAGTTCTCATATGTCCTGAGTCTTAATTGACCTTGGAAGGCTAGGACCAAAATGTTGGGAACAGCCATTCTGATGAGAGGCCTATAGTACTCTACTACACAGCAGTGATTCTCTGTCTTTGTCTGAACTGAAGTGATTCTCACATCAAGAAGATATGAAGCTGTTTTAGACTGAAACCAAATTTGTGTAAACATTAAAAAAATATATATACAACCAAAAGTGGAACACTAAGTTTTTTTCCCAGAAATACTCAAATATATGTGAAAAGCATGCAGTATACCATTTTTACCTGTGTGTAATGTCAATTTATTGATTTATCAACAAAATACATTAGATTATTATCACTTTTGATATGGCAAATTTGATCACTGGTACCAAAAAATAAAGGGATTAACATGGTAAATTAATTTATTTATTTATTTATTTATTCTTTCCAAACAAGCTCTTCTTTAATAAGGTTGATTATTATTTTGACCTTTTTATTTGGACATAATTTCAAATTGGTAGTATTTTAAGACAGAATACATTTTGGTAAAATAAATAAAAGATCCTGAGAGTAGGAGATTGTGGAAGCATAAAGATGAATTTTTGTGTCTCTTGGTGATGTGGAGGGTGGGTAGTTCTAGACTGCTGAGACCGAGCAAAAGCCCAGAGGAGAAGGGGAAGGATTTGCTCCTCATCATGTTTAGTTCCCTAAACTTTTTTTTTGAGTCAGATCATAATATATGGTTCAGGTTGACCTTGAACTTTTTATGTGACCCAGCCTGGCCTTGAACTTGTGGCCTTCCTCCCTTCAAGGGCTGAGACTATAGGCATGTGGCACCAGGCTTAGTTCCCTAAACTTGCTTCATATAATTCTGTCCACTATTCTCTTTTCTAACCTTCCTCCAACTTCTTCTATTTTCTTTTTTTTATTAATTTTATTGAGAAACAAGTAGCAATGAAACAGTTTCAAAACCAATTAGTAGGACAGTTTCAATAATTAATACATTCCATATTGTTGTCTTCATAGTGATTATTCATAGTACAAGATGCAGACATGATATCCTGTCCAAACACTATTAGTACAAATCTTTCCATTCATTGAATTAAGAGAAAGTAGCTATACTGTAGTTAGATATACTATCTTAACAATAGTATATGCAAGGTCCTGCTTTACCTTGGTCTTAATAATCCAGTAGAAAAGTATGAAGATTAAATATAGGAAGTAAAGCCATGCTGTTATGTTGAGCTGTGGGGGACTCAGGTCAATAATTTCTGACATTGCCAGTTAAACAGAAGATCCAATGCTATTATGGGCTACTGGACTCTATTAGAATATTTTGCTGAGTTTACACACCTATAATATTCAATAACGGA